CACACACACACACACACACACACACACACACACACACACACACAGAGGGAGGGAGAGGGAGAGGGAGAGAGATTGAAGGTTACAGAAATACTGTCCAATATTTCTGCATTGGAAAGTGCATAAATATGATGCATTTTGATTCATTCATTAAAAGAAGTGTTGCACTCCATTGTGACACACAGCAGAATGCAACTCTTAATCAAGGTCTTGAAAAATATGTGGTTAATGAGTGAAAGCGAAGTAATTTTTTCAAGTTTAGTTTAATCATCTCTTCAGAGAAATGGCAGTTTATATTAGCAATAAATCAGTTATGATCTATTCCTAGAATTTAACAAGCAGTTTATTATTGTAAACAGTTTATGATTTCAATAAGGCCTATCTATTATTAAATTCTGAAATGCACTGATTTGTAGTAATTATTTCTTGAATAGCATAAACTTACACTGTTCTTCAATGATTGAAAAAAAACATTCAAGATGTTTCTAGCACAATACATTAATTGTCCATGTAGAACTAACGTTTAATGCAGGGTTTAATTTAAGTTTTAGCTCTTATTTGAATTATGTGAAATAATTATAAACATGAGCAGAGTATATTGCTCACATTAGGGAAAGCTAATGAAAATTGAAATGATAATTGTATAAAAAGTACTCTCATGTAGAGAAGAAAGTCAGGTTTCATAACATGAGCAAGAAATTACTAAGATGACATAGGATGAAAAGGACATGAGGGTTTAATGATAGACTGCATGTGGAAGCTTACCTTTGGCACCAGATTTCATATTTGAGGTTTTAATAGATATATGGAAGTATATATTCTATGTTGTCTTTTTATTGATATTGTTTTAATTATTGTTTGGAAACTACCCAGAGTTTGATATAAGACGAATGGCAATAATGGCATCCTATTCTCTTCACTACCAGTTCAGTAGCGGGAGCATGCACGTAGAAGGTCAAAGGTGATGTCAGGGTGGGTGGGCGGAGCCTTGTGCCGCTGCTGCTACTGGTTCACCCAAACCGGTGTGAACCAGCATAATACCACCTCTGACAAGTGGCTATATACATGTTTAAATGACATAAATAAATGCACCCATCCATTCCTGGACCACGTTGCCTTGGTCCCCTCTGAATGGACTATTTCTATGTGGCTTATGTGTACTGCCCTTGAAGAAAGCTACAGCTGGTACATAGTGCAGTGGCACAGGCAGATATGTGTGTTGCTTGATCAACACACATTATACTAAGCTGCATTGGTTGCCATTATGTTTCTAGGTTCAATTCAAGATGCTGGTGATGACCTATACATTGCTCCGGCTTACCTGAGGGACTAGATAAACTCTCCCTGATTATATCTACCTTTGGCCCATTATGCTCTTCTGCCTATTTGAAAACATTATCAGGCAAAGAACTTTTTCTGCCATGGCATATAATTTTTGAAACATCCTCCCTCCAGAGATTAGATTATCCCTGAGCCTTCTGGCTGTTCATGAGAACGTAAAAGCATGGGGTTGTTACCAGACTTAGGGATCCAGAAGTGCGGCAGAACCTGTGCAATGGCTATATTAATTCATTGGTTGTGGTTTTACATTTTTACCAGCTGCTGATAGTGTGTGTTGTTTTATGATGTTTTAATGGTTGTTATCTTCCTTGAGTCATGCATTTAAGGTGGGCAGCCATATAAATGGAAATAATAAACAAATATTAACAAAGAATAGAGAGAACAATAAAACATTTCCTAGAAGAGATTTCTTAGAAAGGAGAAAAGAAATACTAGATTTTTATTTAAATTTGATTTTTTTTAAACTTTATGCATGGACCAAAGTCAGTCTCCAAACAAGTCTTCTTGTTTACCCTTTTCCTACTTACAAGCAGTTTAGGCTAACTATACCACTTCTGTGTGGCTTCTGACTTTCTGCCATGTCACTCATAGGTGGTGCTGAATAATTCGCTGAGTTTCATTTCCCCCCTAAATATGTTGCCCTTGTTATTTGAATAGTTCCTTCTCTTCGCATAGTCCCCTTCATTAGCAACAAAAATTGTATATGTCTTGTGTGTATTTGTAAACCCAAGAAAGAAAAGTCTGAACTTTATTATTCTGTGGGATACAGCAGGAATGAAAGAGCTAGTGTTCTTCACATGCAATTTTCAGTATTCAGAATTGATTTGAGTGATTGTGACTCCTGTGAGGTATAAGTCATCCACATATGAAGAGCCACAGTTCTTATTTCTGGAGTCCCATTGTATAAAGAAGCTAAGGGAAATAAGATTCATTATGTCAGTTTCAACATGTACTAAGAACTATGATGGATGAACTTTTGTGTAGAACAAAAGATCTGGGCACTGGACAGAAGTTACAATAAAAAAAAGGTTTTTGAAGGTGATACCAAAAATTATAGTGTGCGGGCAGGGGCAAAGCATGTCTTGTTGTAAAAGACATTGCATAAAAATATTGATAAAACAAATATTAAAGGATAATACAAAATGCAAATGAAAGAGCTAAGGAATAGGTAGAACCTGGGACAAAATGAAAGATGAAATTTTGTAGGGCAATGATTAGCAACCCAATTTTATACAGCTTGTATAATAAAGAGTTAAAGGAGACAAATGGGTGGGAAGGGGATCTGTTAGTTATGGCCAATGAATGTGGCATTGTGGGAATTATTTTTATGATGACATATACTACAACAATTTGCATAATGAAAACTTACGCAAGGAATAGAAATCATGGTAGAAATTTGGTATGTTGTATACAAAGTTGATTGGTTTGCAGCTGACATCTGATAAATTGAATAACTTTATTCGTTTATTTGTTTATTTGTTTAGGGCAATTGGCTACATCATGTCTACATTATTCTATCCAATTATAACCTTTATTCTTATCGCCATATGCATTTCATACTGGGCAGTGACGGCTGTGTATCCTTTTTATCAAAGAGTAAGTGGTTACAGGTTATTTTCACATTTCCAGGTAAGCACTTTATGAGTATGTACATGTATACACTAAGTATTCATCACACTATCATCACACCATTATATGGAGTCCAGAAAAGAGTGATAAATAGTAAATTCTTAAAAAGGAATGCAAGTAAGAAAAAGGAAGCATTGCTAAATGCTATGCAACACCATACATACAAACCACAATTAGGACTAGAATTTGCATTGCCAAGCAATGCAGTTTTGGAGCCAATTTTATGACTTTGTTTGGCACAGTTGTTAAACAAATCTCTGCAGTTGTTAAGTGAATCATGTAGTTGTTAAGTGAATCATGTAGTTGTTAAGTGAATCTTGCTTCCCCCATTGACTTTGCTTGCCAGAAGCCAGTTGTGAAGGTTGCAAATGGTTATCACATGACCTTGAAATACTGAAACTCATAAATACATGCAAAATACCTGATTTTGACCATGTGACCATGGGGATTCTGCAGTGGACATAAATGCAAAGGCAGGTCATACTTCACCTTTTGGTATTGGTGTAACTTTGAATGGTCACTAAAAGAATGATTGTAAGTTGAGAACTATCTGTATACCTTTCCATATTCTTCAACCCTAGCAAATTATCCTCGTGGATGTTTATATTACCGATAGCCCTCAATTTATGACCAGAGTTGAGTCCAACATTTCTGTTGATAAGTGATACATTTGTTATGTGAGCTTTGCTCCATTTTACAACCTTTCTTGACACAGTTGTTAAGTGAATCACTGCAGTTGCTAAATTAGTAACACGGTTGTTAAGTGAATCTGGCTTCCCCACTCATTTTGCTTGTCAGAAGGTTGCAAAAGGTGACCTTAGGACACATCAATGGCAAGCATCTGAATTTTGATCACATGACCATCTTTTTTTCATTTGCTACTACACATATCATTAAGTAAGCCATTCTCATTGCATTCATCTTAGTCTAACATACTCCCAGTAGCATATAACATAGTGGGTAGAAGCATGCTACTATACACTTCTTTCAATAATCTTTCTTTGCAGTAGATTACATAACACCATTACTTTTCACCCTCATTTGTACGTTAAAATTTCTCCATTTCCCACTGTAGTAAGCATTCTGTTAGAGTACACAAATTCATATGCTCTAGTTTTTTTGCAGTTTATCTATAACTTGCAATCATTCATCACAATCTCCCTGTCAGAATTAAGTGCTTTGGTGGTTAATTCAATATTATTCACATTTGCTGGAAATCATTTACATGCTCCGTCAATAATATGCATACAAATTATAGATATATTCATTCCTAACCAGCACACTTCTAACAAGCTTTTGCTTATACACTGATCCCTAAATGCATTAAACAATCAAATTATCAAATCATACAAGTTTGTTATTCCCTGCTCAATATTAATAATTTGTTAAACACTCCATTTATTCTATGGCATTTCTAATGCATTAAAAGCCATTCAGCAACCAGTCTTAAACTCAATGCTTATGCATAATTGTCATAATTCAAAACTATCCAATTTATCATATTTCTTTGCTAAAGCATGAAAAAAGACAGCATCTTAACCTCCTTCAAAAGAAGCTATATTTTGCATAGGAAGAAATCTCGATCTTTAATGGATTCAAGTGTCATGTGATTATTTTTTTTTGCCAAGTTTGAGAACATTTGATTTGTTCAAGTAAATAAATGGAAAGAACCTTACAAAATTCACTATGCATAAAATATCTTGGTTTTTGGTGGTTTCTTAATTACTTATTTACATGCTTACATTCCTTCCCAGAACTTCCCTTCCCACTGATTAATTGTGGATGAAATCCTTACATAAACTAGCAATAGAACTTATATACTGCTTCATAGAGCCTTTACAGCCCTCTCTAAGCAGTTTACAGAGTCAGCATATTGCCCCAACAATCTGGGTCCTCATTTTACCCACCTTGGAAGGATGGAAAGCTGAGTCAACCTTGAGCCTGGTGGGATTTGAACTGCCAAATCACAGGCAGCTGCAGGCAGCAGAGCAGTACTGCACTCTAATCACTGCACCACTGCACAGTGCAAAATCAGAGTTTTCCACTATTGTGTATGCGATCTTTGAGTTGTATTATTTTCTTTTTCACCTGGTGCCAAAAATGACCAGCAAAGATGTCCTTGATATTAAGTAAAAGAGTAACAAATTTTATACCTCTGATTAATTATCTGCATAGCAGGCAGGTAGGTTTTTAGAAAATGCATACATGCTATGGTTATCATATCCTGTGCTAGTTATTAAAAAACAAAGGAAATTAAATGCATTCTTTGTGACTTTTCCTCTTAGTAGAATGTTACATACAGTGACTATCTGATTCTGTTTGCTACTTAACCCAATTAAATCAAGTTTCCTGGCTACCTCAGGAGAACCTGTGTACAAAGTTATGGCTAATCAAACCTTATGCAAGTATGCAAATTTGACCTGTTATCCAGAGGTAAGCAAATGGGGGGAAAACTTATTTACTTTCTAATTCTTCATTAGTTAATGCTCTATCCTTTCATAATGCCCTGTGCTTTAAATTCCCCACATTGTTCTGACAAAACCATTGGTTCTTGTACAAAAGAATCTTTTCAGTCTACTCTGATCGTAAGTGGGTGTAGCATTTAATGCAGAAAATCTTGCATTGACCAGACGCATATAGGAGATTGAATTATTGGTTGTTTGATTACTGTATCTTTCAGAGTATAAGACACACATTTTTCCTTCAAAAAGAGGCTGAAAATCTGGATGCGTCTTATACAGTGAATACAGCATTTTTGCCTCCCAAAACCTGCTCCCTTCACCAAAATGGCCATGCATTGCCTTTAGGAAGCTTTCAGAGTGCTCCTGGGGGCTGGGGAGGGCAGAAATNACTGTATGGTTTTGTTTAGGAAATGGCCATTAGAGTAAACAAACATCTACTATTTTACTCGTTTGGTTATTGTATGTTGGCAAATTTATGATTTCTCCTTGTTCTGCCCTACTAAATTCTGAAATATAACATGATAGATTTATAGAACTCTTAGATTACAAGAATTTGAAATACTTTACAATCATCCTCATCAAAACTATCCAACCGCAACTAAATAACTAGATAGAAAGAAAGACTAGTTATCTGGCTCATCACCTGTGACACTTTAATAACTTATTTGACTGCATAATGAGCAAGTGCTTTTTTTCTGCAGTTTCTTGATTCACAAACACCTATACAGTTATCAAACATGACCCACATATCATATGAATGCTCTATTTTGACAGCTATCAGTGTAGAATATTCAATATTCTTCATGTTTGATGTTGCTCTCTGATAGAACTTGACATTTTTTCCCACCTGAAACATGAGGGAAAATACTGGGTGGCACTCTACCTTCTCAAAAAGTTAATGGCAAATTTCTTTTGGAATTTCAATTATTTGTGAAAAGACTGATGACTGGGTTGGAAGTCAGGACACTATTTTCTTCAAATAAGAGTACCTATAAACATTATAAGGTTTGTTTTGCTTTCTTTTTACTATTTATTTGCTAGATTTATACAATGTCTCATAGAGCAGTTCATCTCTGTTTGCCATACAAAATGGAACATAATAAAATTTAAAAATAATGCAACAATTCATTTGAAATTCAGCACAACAGATGTTTGCCAGAATGGCAGGTGTGACTTATTATGAAGTTAAAAAAATGAAATGCAACATTGAGAACAGGAACCAAACCCAAATCATGGGAACTGAAACTAATACATTCAAAATTTCTCTAAGAGCAAAAGAATTCTAGTCTTTCACTAGCAGAAATAGAGGTCTTGGGTTGGTTTTTTTTCTCTAACAGGTACATACCAAATCAAGGGTTAGTTCTGTAAAATATTTCTATTTTTCTATCTTATGCCATTCATACATTTCTGATTGATAAACATATAAAAGTTATTTTTCATCATGCATACGTATATCATAAGACATCTTCTACTGAGTATTTGGTCCCAAGTCAAGCATATAGTTTGTAAGCTCTTATATTTGATCTGGCATCTTTCTGCCAGAAAATTCTCTTTCATTTTGAAATAAACCATTGTATAGATTATTTAAAGAATGTAAATTGTTTTATGATTCTATTTTTTCTTTTTCAAAAGGTATCTGGCATTGCTACTGGGAATATCATCGCCTTCATGGAATACCTGGTTCTGATCTCACCATCTATGATATTGGATTCCAGACAGATTTCAGGGTCTATTTGCAACTGAGGCAAACATGGTTAGCATTTAGTAAGTGAATTTTTGAGAAACATGTATTTTGAGACACCTGCTTAACATTGACCTGACTAAATAGTTTCATTGATGATTGATTGACACCAAACTCAAAATACTCCATCTTAAGCTATGATATGTTTAACCATGGGTTGACAAATAAGATGCAGTTAGATGAGTTTATCCAGCACATTGAAATAAAAAAAATCAAGGGTACTTTGACTTAGTACAATATGCAAGCTTGCTCTCTGAAGACCAGATTTCCTAAATGTCTTGTTTCTCTAAATTGATCCTCGGAGGCTTACATGATATAAAGAAATGTATCCATAGTACAAATTGATAATTAAAATGCCGTAGAATCACACCTCCTTCTCAGCTCCAATATTAGTAAGAAATAACAAAGATAAAAGATAGCCAAGTCTAATTAAAAGGCTTTCTGGAGAAACTCTGACTTCAGGATTTTCTTGAATGCTATCAGAGATAAAGTGGATCTTATCTCCAGTAGGAGTTTGTTCTAGAGAACCAACACAACACTTGAAAAGCAGTGACTTCCATCCTTTTATTCTGCAAAGTTGAGAACTAGGAGTATGTTACTCCTAAATGCCCAATTATTTCAGGTGCTTTTGTTTGGACCAAGTCATCCTGCTATGCGCTGAGATAGAAAGAACTTTACTTTACATTACATCTAGCTTCATTTGGAAACTAATTCATAACTCACAGCATAGTTGTAATGTGTCCCCATTCTGGACTAACAGTTCCTTCTTATTTGTCTTTAAAGGTAGTCCATGCAGAGTGCATTGTAGCTATCTAACTGGTATTAGTCAGGGCAAGAGTTAATTGTTCCTAGGTTTTCTTTGTTGTACAGTATGCCATAATATTCATTGAGGAGAAGCCTTACATATGAAACACATAAATACAATTTTGATGAGAGAGTACAATCATGATGACATACTTGCTTTATTGCATATAAAATAGCCAGGGCTAGATTTAAGTATGTTGACATTTAATTCCACTGGAATCCTGAATAAAATGCAGTTGTGTAAGGGACTACTGAACTAACTGGTAATGTGTTGTTGTGAGATTAAGTCAGACTTATTTTTGGACAAACTCATTTCTTGTTATTTTCAGTGATACTACTTTGTATACTGGAAGTTGTCATTATACTGATGTTAATATTTCTGAGAAATCGAATTCGGATTGCAATTGCCCTTTTGAAAGAAGGTAGCCGGTGAGTATTATTAGCATCCTCATTTTTGCAGTTTTCTGGACACAGCTTTCCCCTTCCATTTCTGTAGACACTGTGACCTAATATAGATTTTTAGGTTTTGTTAGAAATTCAGGGCAATATACCACTTGATTTTTTTAAAAAAAGAAGCATGCAAAAATGAGGATGCTAATAATACTCACCGGCTACCTT